GCCAGTCATCCCCCTGTGTTATGAATTTGTTACACAATGGTATGGTAGCCCACCATCTGCACCAATGTGAAATACTTCTGCTCAAACATTTTTGGGCATGCAAGATTTTGAAGTCTCTCCTCCCGCAGTCCTTAGAATCAACAGCAGCTCAGTTTGTCTGTGGCAGGGGAGCAAGAACTGGTTCTAATTACTGACTGGAGGAATAAATAACTCAGAGGAAGTGATGTGCTGCCAGCAACCAAAGACAATTTGCAGTGTCCCAGCTAACACAGTCAATTATTTCATCTGCTTTTTTCTCCTCCTAAGATAGCGCCCACTAATATTCTTCCCCAGTACTTCACAGCCTCCAAGCCTGTCATGACAACACTTTGCAAGACAAACCCCAGAATATTAATAAAATGCTATAATAATAATCATCTACAATTTGTTGTACCACTGACAGTACTGTTAGCCTAAACGAGAGAAAACTGTCAGTACCTCAGTTTTACAAGTTCTTCCCAATCACGATACATTTTTGTTTATGGCAGCAGTAGAAAGCCAAGTATCAAATTTAAACATCTCTTTTTCTAATATAATTTGATATTGCTGGGGCAGAGATAAAGCCTCTGATGCTGACTATTAGCCCATCCTTTTAAAACAAATCTTTAAATACATATTAAACATTTCTTTCAATCTATTTGTTTTAGCACAATGTGCTGGCCTGCTACTAAACCAAATCAAGCAGAGAGTTGCATACAAATACAAATACCTAAGCATGTTTCAAGGTGCAATCCTGTTGATAGAGTTAAACCAATACAATTGTACTTGTGTAGGTCCCTAGGGAAATTATTAATAAAGATCTTTTTAAATTAATATTTTCCTGCCCAAGGTTTATGAAACATTACTAAATACGATACTCCAGGAACCTTTTAGCATCAGAGTTTCCAAATTTCCTCACAAAATAAACCTGGCAGTTTATGAAATCCCACCTGCCCACTGTCTGTAGTCACTGTCCAGCAAAGCCTACCTTCAGAACAACAGCAGGTGACATGCAATGATTTAGTCATTACATACTTAAAGTTCCTGATCCTGTAGCTATTCCCTCTGGGAAGAACCTTACAGAATGACTCAAATGACTTTACGAAGCTCACCAATCTAGAGGGGCTTTCAGGACCAGTGAAAGTGACTTTCAGTGGCCTTCTCCTCCCCTTTGTCAGGTAATGTCCGAACTAATCAGCACAAAACCAACTACAAACATGCAGAAACTTAAGCTGGTTTCATCAAGGAAAACATCTTTGGATTTTCTTGTATTATCAGTGTAGCACATCTACTTTATAAATATGCACTGGCACGTACACACGTAAGAAAAAACAAAAACATATCGCTCCCTAGCAGAAGTTTTAATCTACAAGTACTATCTCTGATATTAACCAGCCCTAAGATGAAGCTTAACACATATACATACAAGTTTATGGGAAGGTTAAACACTATTCAGGTATCTGGTTTTTTCTCAAATCTGCTTGTATGAGTTTAAAAGTCCAGGCGAATCAAAGTTCGTTGACACTTTCAATGGTCAATTATCTAATAAGAAAGATTACCAAAAAAAGTTATTTTAGTCTCTTCTCCTGTAAGACACATTTAAAATCTTTGAAATCTGTATTACCTGGATGAGAATGGCCCTGTTCCAAGCTAAACCAGTGCACACATAAAAATGACAATAGAAACATACAGATACTATTCTAGAAGCTTAATAAGTCACCAATGTAAACATTCCTCCCATTTACACATCTGCACTAGTAATTCCAATCATCAGTTTACCTAAATGACCAGGACAAACTGGCATTTAGAAACACTAGGGCCACAACCAGAAGATGAAACCCAGGTTCCGGACACAAGAGCTCCCTCGCCTGCATGTGCTTAGCTCTCAAAGAAGCCATAATTTTAACTCGAGTGCCTAAGCTTCTTAAACGGTGCAGGAAGAGGCTGGATATTTCAGCATGAGATGGCTAAGTAAACAGGTAGCATGGTGTAACCTAAAGTCAATGCACTCAGCATGTAGCTGTCAACATTTTGCCACTAGGAAAGCACAGTCAGTGGAGAGACCTCTGCAATTCTACTCCAAGAACACCCAACATGAAGATACAAAAGGCTCTTTTCTTTCTGAGAAGCAATTCCCCCACCACAGATATTCATGGTGGATGAGTCAATACCATCTTTACTTAGCAGTGCTGCTACTTTTTTATTGTTGGTTTAGTAATACAGCTGCTGACAGTGCACTTCCTATAAGGCAGGGTGGTAGCTCTGAAAGGAAAATAACGAGGTTTAGTTCCTTCACTTGTGGGGGAATCTGTACCCACATCTCCATCTTCCAGGAGAATACATAAGCTGCAAGTCACATCTACCAGGCATCATCTGTTCACCTCACCTCTTTGAGGTTGGCTTAAAAAAATGCTCTAGACTTAAAAAAACATACATACAAACATAAAGAAGCATGGCTGCCTATCAGGGACTTGGGGAGCAAAGGGAAGGAAATACTATGCTTTGCACATGCTTATTCCACGAACATATAAAATAACCTCTGAAATAAAGGATCAGATCCTGTATGTCTCTAGTCTTGGAAGGCAACATCTTCTTATACCTCCTCTTCCTGGCTCAGTGAATCACAAATTCTTTTTCTGGATAATAACACAGTTCCAGTCAGAAGAACTGAAGACAACACACAGCTTGAGGACTGGGATATTTGCCCAGAAAGTGGAAGATGTAGGTTGATGCCTCCAGGCAAAAAAGGAATCTGAAGCAGGGTCTACCACATTCTGAACAAATGCTTTAGCTAAGCAAAGCAGCAGCATCTCCTCTTCCAATTGTCTTCTAAAGCCATCACCGCACTTAATAGAAGACTGACTCTGCAGCACATGTTGGACATGATTGGAGAATTCCCACCTGACTGAGCTCCCTGGGAGACTATGGCAAAATAACAACATCGAGAAAGCATAACAAGACACCAAAAAAAATGACACCAGGCTTACAATTGTAAGCCTGATATTGTGCTACTCACCTCTCATTCAAGTGAAAAAAAAATTAGATACCCTAGGAACTTTAAAGCTATTAGCTATACTGTGTACAGTGCTTAGGCACCTTCAGAGCTTGATGAGAGAGTTTTCAGGACTGCTGTCTTGACTGCAAGCACCTAGAAAAGCTCTAATAAAGTATTTCTACGAACTTACTTTATTGATAATAATTAGGGGAGCATGGGTTCAGAATCAGGGGTATAACCTGATTCAAATATCAAAACTGCATTGAGCACTTTCATGTCTTCCCAAACTCATTACTGAGAGACAACACCAAACCGCGGAATACTTCTGCAGAGTAGATGTTATATTGAAAATAGGAACACTTCGATTAATTTCAATTTAAGTCACTTATCTACCTAGAGTTCGTCTTTTTATGTAATGCAAGTTAGCAACTTGCACAGGGTTAAAAAAGCTACCCGTTGTAACAAATGTACGTATCTGACACCTACTGGTTTTCCTATTTACCATATTTCCCCCAACGTATTACTTGTTAATTTGGTCTGTGTATTCGATTTGCAGCACCCATTCTCTGGGCAGAATCCCACAGATATCCCCAAGTACGTGTTTGCTTTTGGCACATTGTTTAAATAAACCTACTGGAAAGTACAGAGAGACAACAAACAATAGAAGAGTCAGGAAACCATCTACATTAATTATTTTAAATTCATGTGTAAGGTTTACCAGCTATCTACATAGTATCAACACATATAAGATATCACAATTTAAATCTTATCCTTATATCGTTCACATAAGAACTTTCAACATTTGCTCTGTAAGTGCAGTGATTCTTTGGATGAAGCATCCCCTTGACAGCTTTACAAGGACAATGCTGAGCAGTTTACTATATAAAAGACTAAGTATAGTACTTCCCAAAGAATAAAGACTAATTGAGCAACAACTCGTGTGTAACACCCCCTCAATTTTGCATATAATATTCAATCCCCTAGCTTATATTACCGATTTAATAATGTAAACGTTTTAGTTGAACAATCAATTTCAGGTTCATAAATACACGTGGAAGGCATTTCCAGAGCACAGTTTCTGGGCATCTTGAAATTTCTTGGCAAACAGCAGATGGGAAGGATCTTTGCTTCTTCCCTCTGCAGTCACTCTAGATGGTGTGGGACCTTTGTATCACAATTTACAAAAAGCGAGGTTTTTTGAATCCATCTAACTCTGTCCTACAATACAAAGGAGGAAAAAATGCCTTATGATTAAGAGCTACGTTTCAGTTGCACTGCACGTTTAAGCACAGGCAAGACACTGAAAAAACGACCAAATGCAGACCTAAGGGTTCTGCAGGCAGAATCCTACAAAGAAAAAGAGAAAACAATGAAAGATGCCTACCTACTCAGCACCCTCACAAACTAATCCGCAATATGGAATTCGCCAAGAAAGCACATATTGGAAGCGATGCACTTAAATCTGAGGAGTAACTACACTTGGTAACACAATCTAAACCAATTTAACCAGGATTTAACCAGACAGCCCGGAGACAAAACGAGCATCCCGCAGAGCGGGAGCCAGCCCGCTCCATTCGCCAGTCGAGGGAATGCGTACCTACCCCTTCCCAGCCGCCACCTCCTCCTCCCGCCTTTGCTCCTGCCGAGCGGGGACAGGCGGGAGACAAAGGGGAGGTGAGGAGCCCCTCGCGGGCCGGCGGGGCCGGAGCGGAGCGAGCGCCCGGAAATCCCACAATCCCCGCGGCCCCGGCGGGAAACCCTTCCCTCCTCCCTCCCCGGGGGCCGCTCCACCGGGAAATGCCGGCCCGCAGCCGCGCACGTGGGGCTGTGTGGAGGGCAGAGGAGTGGCGCAGGGAAGAGGCGGCTCCGCCGGGCCAGGCCGGGCCGGGCCGGGCCTCCCAGGCGCCTCCTCCCGCCGCTGAGGGAGCGCTGGGGGAGCGGAGCGGGTGCAGGGGAAGGGGCTCACCGGGCTGACCTGCGGCCTCACCTGCTGCTTGCCCCTCGTGTAGGGTGGCTTCCCGGCTCCCAGGTGGTGCCGCCGGATTCGGATCTTGCCGCCGCCGCCGCTGCCACCCGAGGCCATGATGCGATCCGGCCTCCCCCCCGCCGCCGCCGCCGGCGGCCTCCTCCTGCTCCTGCTCCTGCTGGTGGTGCGGCCGCGCAGCCCCGCCGCGGCCCGGCCGCGCTGTCACCGTCACGGGCCCCGCGGGGACGCGCCCGGCGCGGCCCGGCCTCGCTCCCCCCGCGCCGCTCCCGCCCGCCACGCGCCGCGCGCGGCCTCTGGCGCGCGCGCGCGCGGGGGGCTCCTCCGCGGCCTCCGCCCCGCCCCTCCCCGCGCGCGCTCGCGCGCCTCTCCGCCTCTCCCTCTCTCACGTCTCTCCTGCCCCTCGGCGCTCCCGCCGCTCTTCGCTCGCGTTCTCCCGCCCGGCGGCGGGGCCCTGTGCGCTGTCCGCCCGCCCGCCCGTGGCCCGAGCCGCCGCCGCCGCCGCCGCCGCCGCCGCCGCCGTCGCAGCGCCTCTCCCGCGGCCCGGCCTCCCGCCGACCAACCACACGGCGGCCGCCCCGGGCCGCGCACGCGCGTCACTAGCCCGCGCGGGCGCGTCACACCAGCGGCGCCGGGCGGGCCCGGCAGCCCCTGCGCGCGCCGGCCCCGCTCCCGGGGAAGCGGGAAAGAGGGAGGGGACGGGCTGGGCCGGGCCGGGCCGGCTGCGCGGGAAAACTGCGCGCTGAGCTCTGCCGCGACCCGCAGAGGAACGTGGTGGAGGGAGGGTAAAGTCCACCCCTGGGCGCGGCTCAGGGACGACTCGAAGGCTGGGAGCGGAGGTTTGTGCCGGGGTGAGCCCCGGAGGCGGTGGCGCTGGCGGCTCCTCCGCCTTCTCCCTTCTTCCCACGGCGCTTCGCAGGGAATGGGCCAGGTTGGAAGAGACCATGGTTGGTCATCCAAGTCTAACCTCCCTGCTCAAGCAGGGTCGTCCTAGAGCCCATGGCACAGGATTGCATTCGGACGATTTTTGAATATCCCTAGTGGGGGGGACTCCACAATGTCTCTGAGCAGTCAGTTCCATGCGCGGTCAGGAGCATAGTAAAGTTCTTCCTCATATTCGGGTGGAACTTCCTGTGCTTCAGTTTCTGCCCATTGCCTCTCCTCCTATTGCAGGGCACCCCCAAGAGTAGCTTGGGTCCGTCCTCTTGGCACCCACCCTTCGGATATTTGAATGCTCTGGCGGCCCAGACGCTGTTCCCGCCCAGGGGACACAACTTGCCTACCCTGTGCCTCCCCCGAGGGACGGCGGCGGGGCAGATGTTCCCTTGTTCCTGCTGAGGAGCCGGCGAAGGTCAGCGTGGGGAAGGCGGCAGGAAAAAGAGCACCAGGAGGTACGCGGTGCTCCCCCGGGATGCCGTTATCCATTGCGTCTGTGTAAGCAATGGGAACTGCGATGGTGCAGGTTTGTCGTCGCCCATTTTTAGCAGGTTGGGAGCAGGTGAGGGGGAAAAACTGTGACACAGCTTTTTTCCTCCTCAGAACATGAGGAAGAGTGCATTCTTATTACAAAATTAAAATATGTAAAAATGTGTTTTGTTTTTTAATTCTACTGAGACTACAGTTGAGAAAAATCTATGGCTCTGCATCTTATTTATAGCATTCACCTGCCTTGGGAATCACGGAGCAGAGCAGAAAATCACAAGCACCTTCCCTACATACAAGTCAATAAATATGTTCACAAAAAAACCCAACCCAAACCAGAATGTACTAAAAATTGACTAACATAGAGTGAGGCCCAGGTACTTAACTGTGGAAGAGCTGTGATGTACCACACACTCCTTACACCAAAAATAAAAATATTTGGTCCAGCACACACCTAAAGAAAGAATGTAGAACTGGGAGTGCTGGGAGGAATTAAGAGAGTATCAAAATAGCAAGGGCAATTCTGAAGGCCTGCAGAAATGTAAACCAGCAGCAACAGCAGAGGAACAGCTTTTAGAAGAAATTTTACTGGGGAATTCTGTGCTGCCCAAGGTTTTTTTAACCTCATCGTGCCTTCCCAGCTCTCCTACCTGACTTAACTCCTCAATTTCTTAGTTCCATGTTCATAATCATCTAAAGGAGATAGCCATTTCCAAAAACCCCAGCCAGGGTGGAGTTACTTTCCAGATATTTCTTCTCATGAACTACACCTTTGGAACTCCAGACCCCTCCCCTCCTGCCCCACCCTTGTAAATACAATTTTACGTGCATGGGATGACTCACAATTACAGAGGATCCTTTCCAGAACGTGGAACATGTGGGTTTAGAACCACCTCATCTTGTGTAAACTGCCCACATGCGACATCTGATGACTAGCTTTAGGATGACACTGTTTCTACAATACATATCTCAAGATAATCATCAATATAATCATCAAAATAAATAAATAAATAAAAGTACTGTAGCCTGGATTTGTAGCTCTCTCCAGGAACCAAGCAGCATGGTAACTTTGAACTTTAGGGAGAGGAAGGAAGGGTATCATAATGCATTCCCATTATGGGAAGAGCAGGATTTCCAAAGGGGTATAAACAGTGCCCTTTGGTAACAGACGCTCATTAGTAACAATACCGGCTTCTAAAGTGGTACCTGTGTGGGGAACTGACTAAACTCCCTCCTGTGCTGGACATGTAGGAGCTGGGCAAAACTCAAACAAGTTTCCCTCTTTCTGATGTGTGCAATGCTAAGTATATAAGGTAAGCTGTAATCGCGATATTCTCTTCCAAGTATGTGTCAAAGGCAGCTACACTACATTTGCTCTGTAAATTCAAGTGCTTCTTTATTTACTTATTTTACTTCCATTTTACTTATTTAGAACAATTTTCATATGGTGACATGCCTTTAATGAAACTCATGACTCAGAAATACTTGTCGATGTAGTCAAACAAAGTCTATTGACATGAGTCACTGAAATTAAATAAATGTCATTAAAAATGAGACAAAACAAAAGGCAAATATATATATATCTCCAGCAGAATGATAGTGATCATCACCTTATGATCAATCTTCCCTGTGAGTTATATCTGCAAGTTAATTTGAGGTAGCGCTAGAAAGAAGCTGTTGGTCCAAGAGCATCCCTGCAAAAAGAAACATTCAGGGCTTAAGTACCATTGAACCTTTTTGTAGCCTTTTAAGTACTCTTTGCCTTTTTTAGCCTGTTTTTCTCCCTGTTCACTGACTGCAGGATCAATAGCCCCTCAAACCATGGTACTAAAGCTTTTCTGTTCAGAGAAGTGATAGAAAACAAAAGCATTACTCTTCTTCAAGAAATTAGCAGGTTTTAGGTAAAGGCACTATCTATCACAGCCAGGTACAATAAAGAGTTCATAAAACCAACACTAAATATCCTTCCAAAACTAAAAAAACCTTCATCAGACTTTTTTTTTTAAAAAAACCAACCCACAATATTTCAGCTAGGTAAAACAGACAGACAAAACACAACTGGACAAAGTGAAATAGTGTGGTGTTGAAAACACTGCTTCCAATATTTTTTTTTATGTTTCTACTGCAATCAGATCGTTGTAGAACTGATATCAGGCATCTGTATTATGTACACATTCAGGTCTTCGTGTAAGCTAGCTAATGCAGGCAGTACCAGAGCTGTAAGTTTCCTCACTTAAAAGTCTCAGCAATGCACTCTAACAGTTCCAGTGTGCTCACTTTTTCCTGAATTTGGGCTTACACCCATGCAGAAAGAAGTTTTTTCAGTATGCCTTTACAGTAAAGAACGTGCTCTACACGTGCTTGATCCCGTATATGCACTCCTAACTGGAAAGCAGGATAGGCTAGTAAAGCTTGGGAGACAGAAAACAAAGTCAGAGAGCTACTTCAGAACAGGTATCCATCCCATGGGCTGCAACCAGCAGACTCCCTTCCTCACCTCTCTCTTCTGGTATGTTGACTGGAAGAAAATATATTCCCCAACATTTCTCACGTGTGCAGAATTAATGGCCCAAACAACCTCTTTCAGTACATTTCATAACAGTATTTTCCCTATATGGATACTTTACAGGCCAGAACAGAAGGTGCATGCATATCTGAAAACAGTCTCTAATGCAAAGCATAAAGACCTTGTTAACATGTAAAATCTGCATAAATGTGGTGGCTACAGACTGACTTTGAGGTTTATATGCTAAGCGAAATCACACCACTACATGGGCCCCTCATTACATAGTTCACACACAGGTCAACCTCCCAAATACTAAAAATCAGCAGATACTCCATAGTAGTTCTGCCAAGCCGACTTACATCTTTAGCATCACATTTTTAACTGGAAACACAATAAAAGGTTTCCACAAATTACTTGCTGCAACTTCATTATGGTGTTATGCAATGCTATGCAAAGCAGGATATGCACTTCAAAGCAGGATATAACCCAGGCACAGACCCGGAAGCTGTCTCGTTGCTTGTGATGATAGCGCTTGCTAGATACGAAATCCTTTGCTTAGCAACATCTTTTTAGTACCAAGCTCAAGTACCACAGCTATGCACTACAACTGAAGTGGTATCAAATCCAGTGTAGTTGCGAAGCTTTAATGCTCCTATCCAAATTCAAGGGGCCTGCATCTACTATCTTAAGTCCCTCCCCTGCTTCTGCAGTCCCCTGAAACAATTCTACATATGCACACAAGTACTCCCTTTCCCATCCAGATTCTCTTTGCTTCATTTATTCCACTTTCTGTCACATTCCCATCAATAATCTCCCTACTATCATCCTCCAAGAACTGACCAGTTCACACAGGGGAAGCCTTCACCTAAGAAAGCCTACTTTACAGCCACAACATAACGAGTTCTCTTCAAACCAGGGAAACAGTTGCTAAAACTGTGATAGTACACTCCCTGTCTAAATGAATTTTTTTGTTTTCTCTCTACANAAAATCCAGGAAGAATGAACTTCCTATAGCACTCTAAAACCCTTTTCTAGTTTAGAGCATCTGCATTTCATGGGCAGAACTTTGAAAAAGAAATGTAGCTGAAATTAAACTGTGAAGAGGAAATATGGAGATTCTGGTGAGCAGCTAGAAGGGACTTCCTGTGCCAAGTCATCACTCTGCAATGCAGAATTAGTTTCACATTTAAGAACAGCATATAGGTTGTG